AAGTGGTGTTTTTCAAACTTGGCAACTTTAAGACGGGTGGACTTCAACTCCCAGGATTCCCCAGCCAGCAATCCTGGGAGTTGAAGTCCACCCGTCTTAAAGTTGCCAAGTTTGAAAAACACTGTCCTAAAACATATTTTTATTGGTATAGCTGTCCTTTCCCATTCAAATCCATTCCAGTGAAAGACAGGAACATCAGTCTCACATTCAGAAGAAATAATCATATGGGGTAAGATCTAGATTGCTCCAGGCACAGCTTTTCAGCCTTAGAGCTGCAGGATCCAACCTGTCCTAAGATGGTGACAAAATGACCACCACCTAAAGAAAATGTGCTCCTCAAATGCTCTCCTCCTCTGGGAAGGGCTAGATCTTGGCCACAATATTTATGAGCACTATCTTAAACTTTATTTACCCACACCAAGCAGAGTTGTGGCTCCCCAACAAGACATTTGCATCTCCAAGCTACCTTATTCATGTGAACCAACTTCCTATGTTGTAAGCCACTCAGAGTTGCTTTTGTGAGATGGGCTACCGTATAACTAAATGGAATAAATATATTAATCCTAAAGATTATGAGGTTGCAGGCCTTTTGGGCGCCTGCCCCCAGCTCTTTACCAGAGTCTGCCCCCAAGGGCCAAATGGCGCCCACACTTTCAGCATTCCTGAAAGCAAAGATGTTTCGCTGAGCATCTGGGTCTTAATTCAGATGTTTTTAATGTTGTGAGGAAAATATACCTTGGGATGAAAGAAGCAAGTTTTTAGAGGCCTCAGATGAATGGGATCGCCTTAATAAAACTGAAACATAAAGGAACGGGCAGCACCCTTGAAGCTGGTGTGAACCAAGCTGATTGTAAACTCCTCGTCACAAGCATCCCCATGGCAACTTAAGGGAGGATGCCTTCTTCCTGGCAGCTGGCACCTTGAACTAATTTGTTTCTTCTTTTCTTCTTCCTTGAAGATAGCAGTTATCCTTGTCGATAGCAGATAACAGGGGGGCAGAAAGTAACTTGAGAAGTATTGCTTATTTCGGTATGCCTGCATCATCATACGAATATGAATACGTATGTGCTCTTTCCCCTTCCCCTTCTTGTAGAACTGTATAAATATCAGGGCATCCATTTTGCCTACAGGGGAGCGTCTCCCGCCAACCCTTGGTGGGGTCCTCCTCCAGTAGGTACTGTCTAATAAATGCTGCAGTGAAGCCTCGATTATTTTGCATTTGTGTCCTGCGTTTTGATTCCACAATGTTTTAACTGTGATGGTTATCGTTTCCCATTATTACATTTTAATTGGAATTTTAATTTTCAATTGTTTTGCTGATGGATTGGAGAATTGTGGTTTTACATCAGCTCCTCAGGGTCTGATGAGGGGGGATGGAATATAATTTATGTAATAGATTCATAAATAACATAAACAGCCAAATTTCTGGCTACAGGTAGTCCTCAGGTTACAACAGCAATCGGGACTGGGAACTCCGTTGCTAAGCCACGTGATCATAAAGCATGATGTCACTTCCCCATTGACTTTGCTTGTGGGGAACTGTCAGGGAAAGTTGGAAATTGTGATGATGAGACGGCGGCTCACTGTCACGTCATAATTGTGAGTTGGTTGCCAAGCACCCAGATCACAATCGTGTGACTGTGGGGACACTGTGACAGCCGAAACTCTGAGGAGCCATCATAAGTCCTCTCATTCAGCACCGTTGTAACTCTGAACGGTTGCTAAATGAATGGTTGTAACCTGAGGACTGCCTTATTTGGAATAGTATCCAAGTGCTGGTGGGGAGGAAGATGCGCATCTCTCTTTCACTAAATGAGGACTTCTCTATAAGACACCAGCCCCATTTTTTCATTTTCAGAACTATCCACCAGTTGCATGGTCAACTAGATTTTAATCCAGGAGTGAAGAGACAGCAGTGTAGACTGCATTCAACTAATCCATTGTAAGTTCCTATAACCTTGCACTAGCGCCTAACTAGTGTGTACAGTCTGTACAACCATATGGTACAGTTGCAATATATTTTATTATTATATATTAGAGATGATGCTTCTCTAATTCCTAAATCCAAAGGAGTAGAAAGTTTAGAGCTGCTCTGGCATGTTTTGGTGCACCGTCTTGTGTGCATGAAGTCCACTTTATGAAAGCTGGTTTAAGCCTGGAATGGTCCAAACAAGGGTGCTGAAAAAGCAAAAGGAAACCTCTCTGGCATGTCAAGCGCTTTAAAGAGTAATATCTTGCAATGTAGACTAGAACCTGGAGAGAGGAGACACTTTGGCACCACAGCTTTGCACCACTTTAGGACTGGCTCCAGGTCTGGCTGCTCTTATATCATCTGCTTTTAGGAACAAGGTCATATTAACTCTCATTGTATTCCAAATGCAGCAAAGCTGATACTTTCTTTTAGATCACTGTGGTCATATCATTCATGTGGGGGTCCAGGAGCTCTTGCCTCACCTGCCTCCTAGCTCCGGAGCTGAAGACATTACTCGCTCTCCATCCCCAGAGAGTCCTGCATCCTGTTCTTGTAGGTTTTGCTGGAACCAATCTCCTCTCTTCCTCAGTCTGGCACAACATGCTAGACTGCTCTTGCTTAAAGCACCAGCTGCCATATTGCTGGCCTTCTACTGTTTTCACTGCTCACAGGGACTTTTAAATGAACTATAGGAATGGCGGTGAGTGGTCAGGAAGCCTTTCGTAGGTAACTGACTTTCCCTTACACAGCTTCCTCTGATAGCAACCTCTCAGATTTTTAAATAAAAACTGCCAGAGAAATGCACACAAATACATGCACTGAAAAACACAAGGGGTAGGGGGTTTACCAGCATTTTCTTTTTTCTCTGGGAAGTATAGGATACTCACCTCCCCTTTCTGACCAAGAGGTCCAAAAGGACCCTAGAAAAGAAGAAAGAAATTGGAGTAAAGCTATTTGCTTAAATCCCCTGCAGGAAACTGACGTGAAACTGAAAGATTCTGGATTGCTTTTCATTGCACCTCACAAATGCTCCATCCACATTTATCATCTGAATAAATTACATGGGATGATGCAGAATTAAAGAATCATAGAGTTGGAAGGGGCCATCGGTTTCAACCCTTGTTCGGTGTGGGAATGCACAGTGCAGTTCCATGGCTGTGGGTGAATGTGAACTGGGGTCTCCCCTAGACTATCCTTCACCCCACTGGCTCAGTTCTGGGTCTTATCCTCAAGTTCTGAAGTCCTCTGCTCCAGAGGCTTGCAAACTTGTTCAGGACAAGGAACCTGTTAGCTAAAAAAAGAAGATTTTTTAGATCAGAACCACTGATCAGAAGGCAAAACTCTTGTGATAGAAACTTGGCTGCATTTGAGTGATTTTTTCCCCCTTTTGTCTTTCATGGGACCTTTTCAAGTTCTTGTAGAATCTTGGGTTCAGTATAACATAGTTTGAAAAACCCTGCTCTATGCTTACTTTTTAAAGGAAGACAAATCAATGATCACATTGGCTACATTCACACAATACACTTAACCTAGTTACTGAATTAACCTGCTGTCTGGGTTCCCACAATACAGGGAAGCATAAACTAAGCTGGGTTTGCCCAGTACACTAAGCCACAGAAAACTTCCTCAGGGTTAACACCAACTAAGAGTATTATGTTGTGTGGCTGCAGCTACTAGATCTTTACGTGTCCTAAACTGAAGATATGACCTGAACCAAGAGTGATGCCTTCTATGGTTCATTGCTTCCTTGGCAAAGGCCATCATTTCCCAGGATGCTTGGAGGAATTGGGGGAGCACCCATGCCAATTCACATACTGTAGATACTGGTCCAAGAACTGGATGGTTGCCACAAAAGTGGAGACTCGGTTGAGGCACTGACAGGCAAAGAGGTTGCTCTGGAAAGGTAGAATCAATAGAAGAGAATATGTATGCAGCCCTGGGTTGAACCGTGGAGTCCTTGGGGTTCTCTGAGCTTGGTTGCTTTCTTGCAGACGTTTCATTACCTGTCTAGGTAACATCTTCAGGTCTTCAGATGTTACTTAGATGGGTAACAAAATGTCTGCTACCAAGCTCAAAGAACCCCAAGGACTCGCAAGGTAGAATCAGAAATGCAGCAACACCTAATGGTATAGATTTTACCACTATCCAGCAATTGAGGAGTAACAGAGGCATAGTCAGGCACTGTAGTAAAACCAGGAATGTTCCAGTTGTTCCAGCTGGCAGCTATGAGTAGAGCTCACAGTTGATGAGAAGATTGGGAGGCCCAAGCTGGAATGATCAGGATGGCAGTAATTGTAACACAGACAAAGAGCTATGTTTTGTGTGTAGGAACGGAGTCTGAAGGAGGGTGGGGGTGGAGAAATCATCTCACAAGGGACCCTCCCTGGTTTTTGGGAGAAGAAAAGTAAGGGAGGGGAGAGTTACTTTCAGACTTGCAAGATTCTGTTACTGTAACCTTACAGTGAAGGTAGTGTCAGTACTCATAGCTGATGCTTCTTGACTGGACTACCTTGAAGGGCTGACATCAGTCTTGCAAGTCTGAAAGTATCTCTCCCCCCTCTTACTTTTCCTCTCCCAAAAACAGGTGCTTATGTCCCCAGGAAAGTCCCAACCCACTGAATCCTTGGTATATACACTTAACACACACATGCACACAGAGTATATACACCTGTAAGAAAAGTATTAATATGCAGTAATGCCTTCCTTGTATTCAATACTGAAGTCTTAAAGCCTTTTTTTGTACATAGGCATATCCAAATGGGCCATTGCTCCACCCGTCTGGCATCAATTTTGGGTGAAGGATCAGGGGATTCTGTCCAAAAGCACAGGCCTTTTAAGACTCTGAGAAGCAATTAAATCCAAACTCTACAATTCCCTAATTGCATGCAACTACACTGTAACCATCCCATTCCCCTGCCTTTACATCAGGAGGACTAGGGAGGGTCCCTTCTGAGATGCTTTCTCCACCCCCACCGCTCCTTCGGACTCAGATTTCGTTTATTGGACCATTGTCTTGGCCGTGGCTCTTCCTCCTGCATCCCAAGGTCATTCCCACAGGCCATGACACTAATGTACATGGGGATATCTTGATTCTGAATGGGAAATAGCATAGCTGCTGAAATTCCCTTGGTCGTAGGCTGCTGCCAGAACACGCACATCCCCGTTTCCTCCCCGGCTGAACTACAGGAAGAGTCTTCTCTGGAATCTCCAGACTTACGTCTTCATTGCCCTGGGGAGGTGAGTGATCAGCCCTAAATCTGGCACTTCCAGAAGCGATAGGACTACGGCTCTCAAAACTCCCAGCCTGCAGCTGGAAAATTTGGGAAGGAGAGGTCCCAACAGAAGTGGAGGGAATCAGGTTTGGTGGGGGATCCATCCAGATGTAACATTACATACCAGTTCTCCTTTACTTCCCGACAGTCCATCTGCTCCTGCAACACCCTGTACATGAAAATACAAAGACCATGTTTATCAAAAAGAAAAAAAAAGACTTTAGAGTTATTATAATTGACTAATGAAGGTTAATGTTTAGTCTCTTCTGAATCAAGCTCAACTCCTGATAGCTACCTGCATAGACCATGCAATTTTCTTGGCAACAGTAGGAAAATGGTTTGCCATCTTCTTCTTCTGAGATGTTTCTCAATTCCCTAGTCTACCTGCATTCCTGGGATCTCCTAGTGGTCTCCCATCCAAGCATTAAACAACCCCAAGCCTGCTTCGCTTCCAAACCCAGATCAGGTCAGCCAAATGCTGCCGTCTACTGAAGACATCTTTGACTAACTAACCGTAGCACTTATAACACCAATATTATCAGTAACGCTCACGATGCTGATCACGTTAACCGTAATCTATAAAATGCATATTATCTTCGAGCGTCTCGAATACATTTGCTCAATCATTCTTACAAACCACTCTTTTCAGTCAAGATGATGAAGTGGGGATTGTCCAAGTGTCAGATCAAATTATCCAGTATTTTAGAGCACAGCAAACCTCTGAACTCAAAGCCTCGGAGTTGCTAAGAGTATTCAAAGGCGTGATTTTGCTTCAGAATTAAAACTCCAATGAAGGGCATTTTTCTTTCTGGGAGGCTCCTGAACCATTTTATGTGTTCAACCTGGTAACTTGCTGCCATTTGGTTGGAAGTAGCTTTTCCTGTTTAAACCAGAAGGGGGCATTCCTCATCCAGGTATGTGAGAAATCACTACTAAGGATGGGAGAGAAGTGCTCAGTTTTTTTGTACAATTTTACCAGATTCACACTTTCTCAACTGGCACATTTATGGAGCAGAAAGCCACCCTGTTCTAAATCTGGTTTGCTAATGAGTACAAAAACAGACAGAATCAACCAATGCATTAAGGAATAAAATAGACAAAAACGTGTCTGTTACATCAAACGACCTCATCCGTCACCAGAGATGGACATGAGTGCTCAAAACTTAAGTTGCAACTACATTTTGTTACAGCCTACAGCTTTAAAAGAGAGTTACGGTACAGTCCTATCCTTGGGCTGTGAAAGAGATGCTGAGAGGCAGAAATTTCAATAATGTGTTGCCATATTATTGGGGTCTGGACATTTGCACCCCAAATATGGTAACCTGTTTAAAGGAAATGAACAAAAACATTACCCACTGCATCTCTCTCCTTAGACCAGTGTTCCTCAACCTTGGCAGCTTTAAGACACGTGGACTTCAACTCCCAGAATTCCCAAGCCAGCCAT